TTTGTCTCTTTAGAAGGAGGAAAATAAGAGTTTTAAGACAGTTTCAAGGGATGGCTTAGGTTTTCTCCTCTAACCCTTCCCTCCCTACATGTGGAAATCATAAACAAATAAAAACCCAACAGCTTCTAATAGAAACATTTAACAATGTCCTTGAAGTTGGGCCACTGTATTTCCATCCTTTGATTCAAATTTTGTCTCATTTTTCTATTTGTACTCTTTCTTTTAAGTCTTTTATACAAAACATATTGATTTCTATGATCCACATCTTAAAATTCACCTGTGATTAGAAAGTGATCTAATCACTCGTGCTGAGCTAGTCCTCAGTAAATCTACTGAATGCCTTTCAATTCTATTTTCTTCAGCTAAATTTAGTTGCATTTTGAACCAGTAAATCCTGATCTGGGTGTGAATTCTGAGGGATTAAGTATCTGGCATAGTTTTCAGCTTGACCTTGCCACTTTTGCTAGTGTGCTCTGTTTCTCTGTGCAGTATTTTCCTTTTCACAGGCTGTAAAATTCAGTGATGTGCATTCCTGCCAGGGATGTAGTTTTCCCTAATGGCAAGCAGACTTAGGGACTCTAACTAAAGTAAATAATTGAACATCTCTAATTATTAACCAAAGTGTTTTCCCCTAGTAAGTAGAAACATCTCTGTGTTCTTGTTTTGTAAGCTCTTTGGATTTAAATATAGTTTAATCTCAACCTCTTTTAAAAAATTTCAGTCCTAATTTGACGAAAGAGAATGCATCTTGGTGCTGAAAGCTAATGACCATTCTAAACAGTTCTTCAACTTTAATTCTTTACATTAAATTTATGAAATATTCAAATTTATGTATTATTATATATATTCACAATACCCATCACCAAGAATTAATAAGTTGGTGTTAAGTATGGAGCTTTTATTAAATTCCTTTAAGGTAGGATAGAGTTGCCTGAGGTGACTTAGAGGAGGAATTTTTACACACAACGAATTAAACACAATGGATTTGGCTTACGCAGTGGACTGACCCCAAGTTCCTGAATGCTGGGGCTCTTGGTGTTTTAAGGTTGATTATAATGCAGACAGACTAATAGGACTCTTCACCACCACGGACACTGCAGACAAAATACAAAAATCTTAGAGTATGTACCTCCTTTTATCCATGCTTTTCACTCCAACTCAAAATTACAACTATTGTTTGCTTATTTTATTTACAGATCACATTCACATACTTTAAAATAGATAAGCTGCATGTAATATTAGCTAATATTTACGGAGCAGGTACTGTATACTAAGCACTATCCTAAGTTTTCACACATGTCACTTCACTTAAGCATCCAGCCCCTTCTGAAGTGTAGGTGCTGTTTCTTTTCCCACTTTATAGATGAGGAGACTGAAGGTTGCAGAGACACTAGATGGCCATGCTCCCCGGTTGAAGTCCTGACATGGTCTCCAAAGCTCATTTGTTTCGTAACACACTAGGCTGCCTTCCAACTTGCAAACCCTCTGGAAGCCTCTCTCCAGTTAGACACAAACTCACACTTAAAAATACCAGGTAGCTCAAGCCTAATTAATGCAAGGGTAGAAGAGATAGGAGACTATTAGGTGCATACTCCTGAAGGTCACAGGAAAACTGGGGCTTAAGAACACTGCTGGTTAGACACTGATGGCCTTCCTCACCTTTTTTCCTTCTTTTTTTGTTTTTAAAGCATTTTATTATTTTTATTTATTTTTAATGTTTCAAGTTTTTATTTAAATTCTGGGTAGTTAACGTATAGAGTAATACTAGTTTCAGCAGTAGAATTTAGTGATTCATCACTTAACATATAACACCCAGTGCTCATCACAAGTGCCCTCCTTAATGCTCATCGCCAATTTAACCCATCCCCCCACCCACTTCCCCTCCAGCAACCCTTAGTTCTCCTTATTTGAGAGTCTCTTTTATGGTTTGCTTCTCTCTCTCTCTGTCTTTCTTCCCCTGTGTTCATCTGTTTTGTTTCTTAAATTGCACACAGGAGTGAAATCATATGGTATTTGCCTTCGCTGATTGATTTCACTTAGCATAATAGACTCTAGCTCCATCCACATTGTTGCAAATGGCAAGATTTCATTCTTTTTGATGGCTGATTAATATTCGTGTGTGTGTGTGTGTGTGTGTACATATATATACCACATCTTTATCTATTGGTCGGTCAATGGACATTTGGGCTCTTCATATAATTTGGCTATTGTTGATAATGTTGCTGTAAACATCAGGGTGCATGTGTCCCTTTGAATCAGTATTTTGGTATCCTTTGAGTAAATACTTAGTAGTGCAACTGCTGGGTTGTAGGGTATTTTTTTTTTATTGTATTGTATTGTATTTTTAACTTTTTGAGGAAGCTCCATACTGTTTTACAGAGTGGCTGCACCAGTTTGCATTCCCACCAACAGTGTGAGAAGGTTCCCCTTTCTCCATATCCTTGCCAACACCTGTGTGTTGTTAATTTTAGCCATTCTGACAGGCCTAAGATGGTATATCATTGTAGTTTTGATTTGTATTTCCCTGATGGTGAGTGATATTGAGCATCTTTTCAAGTGTTTGTTAGCCATCTGGATGTCTTCTTTGGAAAAATGTCTATTCATGTCTTCTGCCCATTTCTTACCTGGATTATCTGTTTTTTGGGTGTTGACTTTGATAAGTTCTTTATAGATTCTGGCTACTAACCCTTTATCAGACATGTCATTTGCAAATATCTTGTCCCATTTTGAAGGTTGCCTTTTAATTTTGTTGATGGTTTCCTTTGCTGTGCAGAAGCTTTTTATCTTGATGGGCTCCTAGTAGTTCGTTTTTGCTTTTGTTTCCCTAGAATTTTATATGGGAATTCATGATGTGTTTATGTAAGCCCCTGTGATGGGTTAGTGAGCCTGCTTTCTACCAGGAGTCATTTTTGGGTTAGGAGCCTCTCTACTCTTATGTGCCAGCTACGTATATTCTGCCCACATCCCTCAGTACACATCACTTTTCTTGGTTTTTAGGAACACCTAGGTCTTTTCACTTAAATGCCCCTTCTTTTCTTGCATGATTTTAGCCAAGAGAGGATGTTTACAATAAATACAGAACATCATTTCAAGGCCCGAGGTTTCTCGAACATTTTGGTCTTATTAGTGATATTTTATTTAACACAAAATAACTGCAAGTTTGATTTTTATTACCTTACCCTTCCTTCTTAGATGATTGAAATTATTTTCTATCAGTCTTAAAAAAAGGGGTGGGGGAAGCTCTTGCCTCTGTCTTAAAAGACAAGAAATATATGTTAAGCTATTTCCTTGAACACTAACGCTAATATTATTGTACCTCAGGACAAACTTATATTTCTGTCATTAATCTGTTGCTCATAATCTAAACTCACTATTCTTATTCCTTGAAGACTCCTGCCTTTGGGCCATCCTACATAATTTGTTAAATTTATATTTATGTCATAAACTTAATAAGTTTTAAGCATTAATTATAGTAAAGAATTATAGTAAAGAATCTATATGACAGAATTGGTTATGACAGGTCACATATGTCTACCTGGTACCACTCAGTGACAATCATGCTGTCTTTCTTAATGTCTTCCTTCTTAGTCTTTGAGCCAATTGTAGCTCTAAAAATGTATGTTCTCTTATGTTCATGTTACACTTGCAAAATAGGGTAAAGGGAGTTAAGTTCTATAGGGTAAAATTACAAAATACGTGCTCTTTTAAAATGTTCATGGCTTTGCTCTTCTTTTCCCTTAATTGTCTTTATAAATACTATCAAATTTTTTTTGGTGTTTGTAAAACTAAAATCTGTATATTTGGCAATTTTAAATTCTTGGTCCATAGAAATATAACTATCCTGTACAAAACAAGTTACCTTACTTTTAGACCTTTAGGGACATAAATGAAATATATGCATCTATTTTTATTTTATCTTTGAGTAATGGACAGGTTCCTATAAATTTGTGTATATAAATTCTTCCCTTTCTAATTTCTATACTGTCTACTTTATTACGAGCAAAATTTAAGAGCTGTAACTCCTAAACGGATACTATTATCTGAGAAATTCATGACTAATTCAAGTCTTGACTGCTTTTATCAGGTAATAAGAAAGACCAATAAATGACAGTGATTGGGAATCTGGCCTGAAGGGGAACACGGGTTTATATTCTAGACCTCATGAAAGCAATCTGTCAAAGCATGGGAAATAAGTTTTCAGCATGGAAGTAGGAGGAAAATCAAATGCTGCCCCAACTCTGTGCGCTCAGCAATTACGTATTGATCACTTACTGTGTTCTTGCTGGTAAACTCGCTCTGTGAAAGTAAGAAGGCATGCCTTAATAGGGCTTTACATAAGTAAATTCATCCAAGAAATAAAATAACATATTCTCTACTGCTTTGGATTTTTACAGCATTATTTTGAAAAGTGAAGTGCTTCATTGTTCTAGGAGAATTTTTGGCCTTTTTCCTAAAAGACCCCCCAATTTGTTAATTTTATTATGATAGCAAATGAAAGTTTCTGAACACAGAGATATATCTTCAATCAATAAGAAGAAAATTTTATATTCTACTCAAAATGATATTTAAATCCTGCTCATCCAGCTGTATTGTAGAATCCATTTCTTTCTCAGCTCTTGATTGCCAAGGATCCTTCTCCCGATTCTTTCAAAAATCCGAATTGCACTTGAGGATCTGACCCCACATCTACTGTGGAGGGGGTAGGGGATGAGGGTTGGCCCTGAGACTTAATCAGAATTGGCTTTATTGACTGGATTAATCTGGGTTTGGGTGGCAGGCTTTAACTCTTTCCTTGCTGGATTGTGGAGAGGTCTGAAAAGTTCTGGAGGAAGGACCGGGGTATGGAGGGGAGAGGAGGTTGGTGGCTACCGCTGGTATGGAGGAATTTTAATGGTTTGACTACAGTCAGGTCAGCCAGGTGCCACCCTGTCCACTCCCTTGCTAAGAGGTGTTAACCTCAGAGGTGTGTTCCTTCAAGTGCCTGCCACTGTAGACCTAACTGTGCTCTGTCCCTGTGAGATGACCTGCCCTCCTTTTTAGTACCTAGCACAACTGACAGTGATGACAACTGACTCAAACGTCTCTTTTTCCTTTCTTCTCTGACAGGCATATTATGAAATTACAAAATAGTAAAATTTGCTACATTTTTCTTGGTGTGTCACAAGGCATAAAGATGAAAGACATCTAATGCACTCGTTCCCTTCTGTTAGGTGTACTTGTATAGTCTAAAGATTGGAGTGATTCAGGCTTTACATGCTCCAAAGGCTCTTGTTTCCAAATGGAAATGACAGTATTTCATTCATTCATTCACTCAACAAATAGGTATTGAGAGACTTCTGTGGGCCAGGCATTGTTCTCCAGATACGGCAGTGAGCAAAATAGGAAAAAAAAAAAAAAAATCCCTCCTCTTACACTCAACTCTAGTGGAAGCAGGCAATAAACAAGGTGAATAAGCCAACTAGGTGGGATGTTGGAGAGCTATTAAATGCTGATTATAAAGATCAAGCTGGGAAAAGGGATAAATATAGGGGGAGGTGCTCATTGAAAAGGTGGCATTTGAGAAATGACCTGAAGAAAATGAGGACGTAGCAAGACATCAAATTATCAGAAGAGCATGGCAGGCACAGGAAACAGCCAGGACAACCGCCCGAGGTAGGAACGCTCCTGGCACACTTGAGGAGCAGCATGAAGGCCAGTGTGGTTGCAGTGGCGTGAATCATTCCACCCTTGGAGATGGAGGTGGTCAGAGCACTCTAGGGGCCAGGTGGTTAGCTACTTTAGAAGTCATCACAAGGACTTTGGCCTTTCTGTGCCAGATGGGAAACCATTACTTGGTCCTGAACAAAGTGAGCTAATCGAACTCATGTTTTAATAGGATCCTTTTGCTGGTATGTTGTGAAAGGACTGTAGGGAAGCAATGGGGAAGAAGAGTCCAGTTGGAAGATTCTTGATCATAATTCAGACGATGTGGTAGCAGTCAAGCTGGATGAACCAATAGGATGGACTTAATGTGGAGTGTGAGAGAGAAGGGATGTGGATGACTCCAAAGTTACTGGACTGAACAAATGGAGGAATGACTTACTCTGTATTGAAACAGACTGTGAGAACAGGATTATTTTTGACAGGAGAGTGGAAGGGAGGGATTATCAGCATCTCCGTTTTAGACATGCCTTGGTGGAAATCGCCTTAGACGTTAAGTGGAGATCAGATAGAGGTCCAGGATGGAGATGTAAATTTGGAGTTAATCGGCATATGAATAATACATAAATCCAAGGGAATTGAGGAGATTACCAACAGAGTGAATGTAGAGACTGAAGAAAACACATCCAAGGCCTGAGATGAAAAAGAACCATAAAAGAAAACGGTGTTGGGATCTATGCAGAGTAGGAACGTAGTAATCTGGAATTAAGAAAAAGAGGATTTTAAGAGGGTGGTCAACTTTGTTGAATGCTGCTAACAGGTCAAATAATTGAGTTCTAAGAATTAACCACTAGTGTAGTTGTGGTGGAGGTCCTTGATGACTTTGATGGGAATAGCTTTAATGGATCGGAAGTTGGGCAATATCTGGTTGGAAGGGTTCAAGTGGGAGATGAGAAATTGGAGACAAAAAAACTATGAACAACCCTTTTAAGCAGGTTAGTTGGAAAGAGTGCGATGACGTGGCAGTGTGCCAGGAGGCACCAGGCAGCCTGCTGAGGCAGGACTGACTGTCTTAGGGTCTGCTGACAGTCACATGCTGTGAATGTGAGCGTTAGCCATTAGCTGCGTATAGAGTCAGTGACCTCAAATGACCTTGCCTTGGGTAGACATAAATTTTTGAGATGTTTGTCATTAATACATTAGTACTAAAGCCAAAACAAAACATTAATCAAGGCAGCTGTTTTAATGTACAAATATCCTTCCCTTTTCAGCTCTTACTTTACATCCAATATTTTCTTTATATTTTTCTTTGGAAGCTAGTTTTTAACTAGCTCATAATTGGTTGTTTGTATGCCATGCTCCCATCCCAGCCTAAGTTTCTTGAGAAGGACCATATTTTATTTTACTTTACATATCAATCTCGTAGCTCTGCTCCTGGCACATGGCAGACACTCCATAATGTTTTTGGAATGAATGACTCTCCTGTTTCTTATTGGTATGTGGTGCCTTGGATGTAAAGGTCGGTGTCTTCCTGAAGTTTGCTGTTAATTTCTAAATAGAGATTGTGTCTGGTCATTTTGTTTTCCAGAATTCCTGTGGAGCAGGCATAGTGAGGACCGGCTCACTGCAGCTCAGTGGTACATCTGTTGGCAACTCATCTTTGAAAAGGACAAAGCGAAAAGCACCTTCCCCACCCTCCAAAATGCCCCTGCCTCTAAGTGATGAAGATAATCATGTGACTGGTAACGTTACTTTTCCCATTAACGTTACATGTGTGTTGTGTCTTGTTTAAAACAGACAAGAAAGTGATATAGGTTATAAATCAGGTCTTTTCATTAAATGATAATACTTAAACTTAGGCTTTTAATTAATTTTAATAATACTTAGATAGTCCCTGATTATTCTTACTTAACTACCTTTTTTTTTTTCAACGTTTTTTTTTTTTAATTTATTTTATTTTTGGGACAGAGAGAGACAGAGCATGAACGGGGGAGGGGCAGAGAGAGAGGGAGACACAGAATCGGAAACAGGCTCCAGGCTCTGAGCCATCAGCCCAGAGCCTGACGCGGGGCTCGAACTCCCGGACCTCGAGATCGTGACCTGGCTGAAGTTGGCCGCTTAACCGACTGCGCCACCCAGGTGCCCCTTAACTACCTTTATAAAAGCTGCAAGACGACAGGATAAAATGAAAAAAATTGTACAGCCCCCTGATCCTAAAATTGAGCGTGTGATCACTTGTGAATCTGTTCAGAAGGACACTCTCATCCCAGGGCTGACTACCTGTAGGAAGGGGAATCCATGGAGGTTTTAGTTGTATCAGAGCTCGGTAGTGAAATGGCTTCTAACAAAGCCTCAGGGCTCTCTTTCCCTAAAGTATAGAAAAAGAATGAAGTTAACCTACTAAAGACTTGTTCCATTTGTGAGTGTGATTATTTGTAAGGTGTGCCGCTTCTGTCCTCTAGTCCTGCAGGCGGGACGTGCAGTTCCTACAGACAGTGCTATGGAAGCCAGCTGTCCCGAGGGGCCGTCCAACCCAGGTAGGACACCTTTGCCCCACAGTCATGTGGTACTGACAAAGATCTTTCATGACAGTTGAGGAATGAATCTAGTTATAATGCTCTGCCTGTGAAAGAGATGCAGATGCTTTGACTCTATTTCCCAAATTTTATATTATGAAAAGAAAACTTTTCCAGCCTGGGTTGAGTATGAAACTGGCAGAACTCAAGACTCCAGTTCTGTGATGGTACCTTAAGAGCTTGCCTTATGCAATGTCAGGTTACCCTGTACAGTGTCAGGGGTGTCAATGTCCTTCCCAAGACGAATGACATGTTTTAGTTAGGAATGTACTTTAGTGTGTTCAGAAGAAAACTTACACCAAAGTGTAAAGTACCATTCTTTACGCGACTGTTCTAGGTATGAATTCAATATACAAAGTGTCCTCATTTAGTGATAAAAATTTGTTATCACGAAATATTTTCTGTTGTATGGTCTGATTTTGGATTTCCCAAATAAATGAAATGCCAGTAAAAATAAAATAATTTGATTGAATGCTGTTTCCTATATTTTTAATAATAGCTATTTAGTAGCTATTATAAGAATAAATATGATAACATTTCTTAATTTTAAGACTTAAAGTTAGATACAAATGAATATGAGAGACTAATGTCTAGCCAAAAATAGATATTACTATGCTATTACTTTAGCATGGGGATAATTTTATAGGTAAGAAAATTACTCAGTATAGCCTTAATTTTTATAATTAAGATTCATAAACACTGCAAAAACCCGGGCGCACCAAATGCTCCTAAATCTTTAATCCTTAGCTGATTTTTAGGAATTTGAGATTTTGACACATCTTATATAAGAATTCTCCTGTCCTCTGTGATTAAAAATATTATCATTATATAACTAGTCGTGATTTTTCTTAAGTCCTACCCAGAAAAGTATCATTGATACTGTTTGCTCCACAAAGGAAATGTATTAAATAATTTCAAACTATATAAGTGAAATGAGAAGATTCAGAAGTATTAGAAAAAAGATGTGACTGCTATTCAAACTTTGCTTGATATCTATTTCTCTTTCTCTTCCTTTTTTTTTTTCTAGTTACCTCTTCTTGATTAATGCGTGGATAATTGTGAGCTAACAAATCTGATTTCTTCGAAATGCTTCTTGTTCTCTGCTTGCCTTAACTCTGTTGTCTAAGTGCCATTTCCACAGATTTTACTTCTTTGGCAGAAGCCTCCCTTGGCCCTGGGCTCCCCAGTCACGAACAGTGCACTGTGCCCAGATCGCCGGATGAAGCCTCTCTCTTGGAGTGCCCTGGAACACCCGAGGCGGCCGTAGCATCTCTGACACGTAGGTGACCAGGCCTTTCTTGCCTGGTGCTTTGTTTGATGCAGAGTAAGATGTAACCACAGAAAAATTTGGTTACTTGGTCATCCCATGTGTAAAAATGCCTCAAAGAAATAGTAGTTTCCCTCTTTCACTTGAAATTCCATTACAGGTTTAGAGTTTGATGTTTTCCCTGACCATATAGATGAATAATGCAAGGTGTAAGATGAATAAAATAAGTGGCTTTGGAGGATTTCAGCTTTTCTGCTATTTGGCTCTCTGCTTTTTTGGCAAAACTCTTTAAACTCTGTTGTTTCCAATGTGTAACTGTATGAATATAAAAGTATATATGTATTTTTTTCTTTCTTGAACTACTTTTTTGCTCTAGGCCTGGCTTATTTTCTGTAGGATTGCTTTCGATTGGGATTTTTAAAGTAAATTATTGGAATTATTTTGTTATTAGACTGCAAAAATTTATAGTCAGGTAATATTTGAATTTCATCATAAATGATTTTATTCAGTTTTTTATGAACTCAGAATGAGTCCTTATTTAAAATTATTTAAAATTAATATATTATCACCTACTGCTTTTAGTAATACAAAATTGTATGGCCAGTTTGGAAAATAGTTTGGCAGGTTTCTAAAAATAAAATTTAAGTGTTGATTTTCTATATAACTCAGAAATCCCACTCCTAGGTATTTTCCCAGAAAAATGAAAACCTTTCTGCTCACAAAAACATACATGTGAATTATTATAGGATTTTTATTCATAATTGCCAAAAATGAGGAACAACCCAATGTCCCTTAACTGAGGATGGATAAACTGTGGTCAGTGCAAACATTGGTGATATCACCTACCCATTAAAAAGAATGGATAATACATGCAATGACATGGCTGAATCTAAAATGCATGTAATGTTAAAAGGGGGAAGCTAGTCTTAAATGGCTAGATGCTCTATGATTTCAGTTATATAACATTGTTTCAAGGGCAAAACTATAGGGGGACAATAGTTGTCAGGATCTAGGGTTGGGGAAAGGGATGATCACCAAAGGGCATGGGGGATTTTGGAGATGGATGGACTTGTTCTATCTGTGTCTTGATTGTGGTGGTGGTCACTCAACTATATACCTGTATTCATTATAGAACATTTTAATTATCAAAATGAAGCATTCCCAAATGGATCCCCAAAAGCATGAATTTTACTGAAGGTAAACTGTATCTCATTTTCTAAAAGAGACAGAAAACTACTATGGCAGCAACTGCATTAGTGTCTGACAAAGTGAGCGTTTTCTGAATGAATGAATGAATTTTAAAAAAGTAGTTCACCACAATGGATGTAATATGATTTTATTTTAGCAAAGAGAGAGAATTTGTTTATTTTGCCGTTTCAGTCATTTCCAGGAAAAATATGCAAAGTACCCCAAAAGTCACAGTGAAGTTATAAGCTTTAATAATTTTTTTAGGTTTATTTATTTGAGAGAGACAGAGACAGTGTCAGTGGGGGAGGGGCAGAGAGAGGGAGAGAGAGAGAGAATCCCAAGCAGGTCTCCGCTCTGTCAGCACAGAGCCTGACTTGGGGCTCAGGTCCACAATCCATGAGATCACGACCTGAGCCGAAACCAAGAGTCAGACGCTTAACCGACTGAGCCACCAGGCGCCCCTATAAGCTTTAATAATTTAAAAGTAAAATGCTACAAACTTAACAAAAATATGAAAGCTTATGAAAGCTTAGTATTTAAATTTCATTTACACATATTACATTTTGTGGATTTTAAAGAAGTTTTGAATTTTATATTTTGTTTCAGTTTTGCTTTCTTTAGCAGGAATGAAAAACTTAAGATGAAAAATATTCATATCATATAAAGCTAAGAAAAGGTAAAAAATGCAATAATTAAACTTTAAAAAGATGACTTCTGTAATTTTTAACATTTATACTTTGGAAGTTGTTGGATCTTAAAACTTCACAAAGATTTTGAACACTGTATTCTTTGAAAGTGAGTATTTTTCCATTAGAACTTATGAAGCTACAAAACAATAGTTGTGCTACAATATTGGTGGAATTTATTCATTGTTCACAGCCCTTACCCAGTCTTTTTCTATTGTGGTCCTAAAATGTGGCTTGATTCATATAATTCTGTTAACACAAAAAAAACTTGATTTATTATTTTTCAAAGCTTGGAGAAATTTGTGCTAGTCACCCAACCAACTCTGAAAGTTCTTTCAGATAATTTGAATTTTTTAAAAAAGAATCACTTCCTTTCCTAAGACATTTAAGAATAGGAATACTCCTCAAGCTATTAAAAAACATGTATATTTAAGCAAGCCCATATGACACTAGCAAGTTATAAAATTTCAGAAAAATAATTTGAGAAGACTTTTGAAACACGTAACTCATTCTTTATACTTCGACTGAGACCTGTTTCTCTTTAAGGGGCCCCATATTTAAGGAAAAATTGTGTGAAATAACTTTTGATGGGCAAGAGAGAAATAGGGATAACAATCAATAATTTGCTAAATGTTACCTCAGTTAATCTAATTTGCAAAAGAACTTATTATATGCCAAGGAGCCATTTATAAAACACATTTGCATCTAAATCAGAACAGCCTTTCATTTTCTCAATACACAGTTTTCAAATTATGTAAATATACTCTTACTACACAGATATGATATGCTGTTTTACATACATAATATTTGTGCATTGGTATCATAATGACTCCTTCACAAATCATAATAAAACAAGATTTGCCAAAATATATTTTTAAAAAATTCACTTAAATTCCTTAATATTTTTTTCTGTTGAGTAATCTTTTTTTAAATTTACAACAAACTGTCATTAAAAGTCTCCATATTTGGGGCACCTGGGCGATTCAGTCGGTTAAGCGTCCAACTCCTGATTTCAGTTCGGGTCATGATCTCACAAGTTTATGAGTTTGAGCCCCACATCAGGCCCTGCGCTGACAGAATGGCGCCTGCTTGGGACTCTCTCCCTCTTTCTGTACCTCCCCTGCTCGTGCACACTTTCTCTTTCTCTCTCAAATAAATAAACTTTAAAAAATAAAGTTTTTTAAACAGCATAAACAGCAAAATTTTTTGTTGATACACCTAGAGATAAAATTAAAGACATACATTTTAAATACTTTAAATATTCTTTTTTGTTTTTACATTTTTTTTTAAGGTTTATTTAGTTTTGAGAGAGACAGAGCGTGAGCAGGGGAGGGGCAGAGAGAGAGGGAGACACAGAATCCGAAGCAGGCTCCAGGCTCTGAGCTGTCAGCACAGAGCCCAATGCAGGACTCGAACTCACAAACCACGAGATCATGACCTGAGCCAAAGTCGACAGCTAAACCGACTGAGCCACCCAGGTGCCCCTAAATATTCTTCTAACATGTTGAAGTTTTTATTAAATTTTGTGGCTGTGCTGATCTCTGTAAATCAATGCTATGCCACCTTTCCTCCCCCTTCTATTGTGGTAAAATTAAAGTTTGTTCAGCTGCTATTATGTAAATGGAAGTGTTAAATTATATTTAAATAAGTGAAGATCCAGAACCTCGTTCTTTAGATTAAATTAACTTTCACAGCTAGTGTGGGCACCAGTTAGGATGTCTCCTCTTTTAGCCTGTTGGCCACTTGTTGGTGCTTAAGGAATAATGATAAAACACATTTTTATACACTGAGATACTAGCCATAGCTTTTGAAAAGAAACACACACACAGACACAGACACACACACACATATTGTTATGGGACAATTTTCCAGATACAGTTAACTGGAGAAGCAGAAGGTGAAAAACATCAGGTATAGTATGCTTCCATTTATATTAGATAAACAACAAAAAAAGGAAACATGAGTGTGTATATCTGCTTGTATGCTCATTATACTTTCCAATACTATATAGGAAAAATCTGTTAAAGGAAATTGCTTCTGAGAATCAAACTGAGAGAATAATTTTCATTGTATAATACTCATTTGTATTTTCAAAATTTTTACTAAGCATCTAAGGCAGTGGCTTTTAACCCTGGTTTTGTATTAGAATCACCTCAGGAACCTTAAAGATTTTGGTTCCCTCCATCAGAGATTCTGGTTTAACAGGCGTGGAAGAGGGGGTGAACATCAGTATTTAAAAAAATTTTTTTTAACATTTATTTATTTTTGAGACAGAGCGTGAATGGGGGAGGGTCAGAGACAGAGGAAGACACAGAATCTGAAACAGACTCCAGGCTCTGAGCTGTCAGCACAGAGCATGACACAGGGCTCAAACTCACGAACCGTGAGATCATGACCTGAGTTGAAGTCGGACGCTTAACCAACTGAGCCACCCAGGCACCCCTGAACATCAGTATTTTTAAGAGGGACTCAGAGAACTCTCCATTGTAGTGAGCACTGATAACCACTGAGTCAAATTTTTTGGTGTACTTGTAGACAATATAAAAATCTCATGTTCTTTTCATTTACATTTAGACCTATTGCATAAATGTAACAATCATTTAAATCTAAAGATATATAGATAACTTTCAGATATATAGCTTGAAGTTTGAGTTTAAATAATTTATTTTTTTCTACCATGAATAAAACCTAGCATGATAGCATATTATTTTTAGAATTGTATGTGTCTGAGATAATCTGATTATATGTTAATTTGATTATTCACCATTAGAAGAGTATTTCACTATTAGTTTTGGATGAGCATTTAAAAGAGTCCATCCAGCTAATTATGATTTTAAAAACTCCTTTCTTGCTAGGATTGCACAGGAAGAATGAGGCAAATTAATATTTAGGATTATATCTTCATTTCTTTGTAGCTGGAATAAGCTCTGATCATAGCCTTGAAGAGATAGATGAAAAGGAAGAACTGAGTGAAGGGCCTAAAGTTGAGGCTGAAAATGTTTCTGTGAAGTCACAAGATATTCCTTTTGGATCTACTGAGATAATAAATACACTGAAAAACGATCCTAACTCAGCCCTTGGCAATGTTACTGGAGAGTCCGCACAAAACTCCAAAGAAGAAAAACAAGAAGCTAGAAACACAGATGGACAGTAAGTAGTAGTCTGTGTGCCAGAAGTGTATGGTTTGTTTAATTAATACTAGTCTCTGAGTTATAGATCTGATATTTTAAATACAAATATAGTAGTCCCTTTAGTTTAGGCTCTATTTCACCACCATTATAAGAATATTTATTAATGAAGTATCTATTTGAGGTGCCTGGGTGGCTCAGTTGGTTGAGCGACCAAGTCTTGATTTCAGCTCAGGTCATGATCTCACGGTTCATGGGATAAAGCCTTGTGCTGGCAGCGTGGCGCCTGCTTGGGATTCTCTCTCTCCCTCTCTCTCTGCCTCTCCCCTGCTTAAACTTTTTTTCAAAAATAAGTAAGCTTTTGGGGCGCTTGGGTGGCTCAGTCAGTTAAGCATCCAACTTCGGCTCAGATCATGATCTCTTGGTTCGTGAGTTCAAGCCCCATGTCAGGCTCTGTTCTGACAGCTTGGAGCCAGGAGCCTGCTTCAGATTCCGTGTCTCCCTCTCTCTCTCTCCCTGTCACTTTTTAATTTTCAGTGAATGCTCCTCCAAGATTTTCACTGATATGTAAAACAATTCTGCATATTAGAGTGTGATGTTAAGTTACTAATATTTTCACAGTCAACTTCATGATGAAGATAGTGCACTTGCCACTTGATCCTAGGAATTGAAATCTATACGACAGTACACTTGTATTGTGTTAGAAATGCCACATCATGAATAAAGATGGAATCAAGTAGGCAAAATAAACCATCTTTATCAAAGTTTTACCATAATTTGCATGGGATTGTCTCCAAATTAAACCCTTCTATGACTAAAAAATCCCAGTGAGGTCAGTCCACATCCTGATTTGCCAGAACTTGGCCTGGGTGGATGCAAGACTAAAATGATTAATTTAGTTTTCTTTTTCTTTAAAAGACAAACAGTCAATAATAACAAAAAGACACTGTTTTTAGAAAAGTGTTCATTTTTACCAAGCTTCTTAGATCCTTCTTTGTAATAGGACCTCTCTATGAACGCTAATGGTTCATAGCAGCATTTCCTCTCAGTTGGATTTTTTTCTTTGCTATTAAATTTCCGGTATTTGGCAGGGGAAAAAAAGATGATTATTTCAGTCCATCTGTCTTTGGAAATTATTGCCTGTTTTCTCATCTGGGGTGTGTGTGTGTGTGTGTGTGTGTGTGTGTGTGTGTGTGTGTGTTTAAATAGTATCAATATATGACATACAATATCCTATTTTTCAGAGGGCCACGCATTATGGTATATAATGCAAGCAATGAAGAGAGAGTAGTGGACAGTGTAAGAAACTTGAAGTCATTGGGCTCAAACCAGGAAAATGGTGAGTTCTACAAACACTAATAGCCAACATTTTCATAGCACTTACTATGTGCCAAAGGGCCATTTTTAACACTTTATCTATATTAACTCATTTAATCTTGTGTATTAACTTATTTATGGGTCTTATTATTTTTAGTCCCACTTTACGGATGATTGAGCCACAAAAATATTATATAACTCACTTGAGTTCCCATAATTAGTAAGTGGTGGACCTTGGATTTGAACTCAGACAGTATTACTTTAACATGTGCTATTAACCATTATGTGAACTACTTTTGTTGTTAAATCTTAGAGGTTGTTTAACCTAGATTTTGGATCTTAAAGATGTGTTCTCTATGCATTTACTTGTGATCTATTTCTCTTATTTCTTTATACCAACTCCTAAGTTGAACTTGTTTTACTTCATACTCAAGTTGCTTTTACTTGGGTGAAACTTGTCTGCCTGATTTTTAAAGTTGAAACCATCTAATTCTGTATAATACTTACCAGTATTCTGTACCCCCTCAATCAAGATAGTTTCATCTCTTCATCATATTTCACTTAGTTTTATCTTTAGGGCTATGCTCATTCTTTGCAAAAATATGATTTTCCAACCTAACTTCACCCATTCAACTGTCCAAATCCTGCCACTTCACTTACTTTGTTACTTGATTACAAGCCATGTGTTTCTCTGGTCTTGACTCCTCAACCAGATTGGACAGTCTTTTGAATCAGAGAAATTCTATCCAATACTTTAAATTCCTCATGGCACCTAGTGGAATACTGAGATATTGTTAAAATACATACAGTCATTGACTTAAGATTTTTTGACTTCACGATGGTGCAAAAGTGGTACGCATCCAACGGAAACTGTACTTTGAATTCTGAAGTTCGGTATTTTCCTAGGCTAGCAATACGCTCCATGACACTCTCTCATGAGGGTGGGCCTCAGCCACTGCAGCTCCCAGTCAGCCCCATGAGGGTAAACAACCCCTCCACCTGCAACATTCTGCCATTCACTTTCAGCACAGTATTTAATAAATTACATGACATATTCAACACTTTATTATAAAAAAGTCTCTGTGAGAGATGATTTTGCCCAACCGTAGGCTAATGCTTTATGAGCACATTTAAAGTAGTGTAGGTTAAGCTATGATATTCAGTAGCTTAGACGTATTAAATGCATTTGACTTAATGATATTTTCAAGTTATGATGGGTTTATTGGGATGTAACTCCACCATAAGTTAAGGAAGATCTATACTTAACATTGAGTTTCGGAAAAATGATACTACACAAATATAAGATGTGAGTGCACAATGGTATTTTAAGAAAATATGAAGGAGTTGGCTGATGAATTCTCATAGTCCGGTCTGTTATATTAATATACAAAACTAGATGCAGATTTTTAGAAAACATAGGGTATATATATTCATATTTGGATAAAATGTGGATTATGCCAGCATCACAAACAGATGGGTAGATATATATTGTTTTACCTATGTGGTATGTGTTGGTTAATTTTTTTTTTTAACATTCGTTTTTGAGAGACAGAGACAGAGCATGAGTGGGGGAGGGGCAGGGAGAAGACGGGGAAACACAGAATCCGAAGCAGGCTCTGAGCTGTCAGCACAGAGCCTGACTCGGGGCTCAGAATCATGGACTGCGAGATCATGACCTGAGCTGAAGTCAGAGGCTTAACTAACTGAGACACCCAGGCGCATCATGTGTTGGTTAATTTGAATAAGTCTTTTTCCCCGTGGTCAGTACCATCCTGAGATAGAATACTGAGAAGTTCTAAAAGTATATAATTTCCCCTTCCTTTTCCTCTTGATTTAGTTTCTCACAGCATACACTATGATGGTCAGTAGAGTTTTTACTGAGAAATCATGCTGCTTCCTTGTTTTAAAAATGATCATCAAATCATTTTTGCTAAGATTTTGGCATCAAGTTAGTGCTAGGGTCACAGGTATATTTCTGTAATAATATTTTTCTGTTTGCATTTGATTTGCAATAACCTTGGTCAACTCTGGGTGGGTTCCCCCCCCCCATACTTTTTTTTAATTGAATTATATAGGGGACTTTTAAAATAATTTCTATTATCCTTAAAGGATAATAGATAAGTTTTAATATTTTCTTCCCTCTTTTTCACCTACTCTGTATATTTGTTTCAGTCATCCTTTTGTCAAATGACTTGTGTTGTAGATGTTGGTATCGGTTTTGAGTAGGGAGAGGACAGGATATTACAAAATCTACCTTTAACTTCTGGCTATCATTGTAAAATGGCCTAACCAGTCATTGACATTTGGTTAGTGTCATTATTAGTATGAGGATGGATTAGCTACTGAGTTCAGCAGTGATTCTAGGTTTCACGCCCTGTCATTGGTAATAATTGTGAGATTCTCAGGAGAAATTCAGAATTAAAAAGCAGTAAAGTAGGTGCGACCCACCAAAAATGTGAAAAATAGACATTTGGAGTTCTAAAAACAATTAGTTAGGGTTTGTTATAGGGAACTGAATTTACAATATATTTTTATGTTGATTTACTTTGTTTTGGAAAATATTTCTATTGTGTAACTGGACTATACCTATACTCACTGGATAATGAGCTACAATAAGAGAGAAAGAAATACATTTACATTCATTTCCTGGTGCCAGGGAACATTTCTTACATTCTTTTGTGCTCATAGCAGTGTTGACAATAGTACTTTTCATGTAGACGTTAAAAATACTTGTGAAGTAATTAAATAAGAACCTAGGTAGAAATGTGCCTTTTCAATGATTTTTAATCAAATGTGTTTTTACTCACAAAAGCTAATAATTATTAGTCTTTGAGAAGTCACTTGTATAGACAATAAATATTCTGATAATCAGTTGCATTTTTCAGGAAGAATAAAAATGAATTCCATTTAAAAATTAGCTATTTAATATAAGAACCTTGCAACATAATAGAAAATATTACTACCATGACCAAAAAATCATGCAATTAGGTAGGGTGTAAAAATATGAAGGTATTTTTTTAAGTTTATTTATTTATTTTGAGAGAGACAGTGGGAGGGCAGGCAAGAGAGAGGGAGAGAGAGAATCCCAAGCAGGCTCTGCGCTATTAGCTCAGAGCCTGACATAGGACTCAAACCTGCAAACCACAAGATCATGACCTGACTTGAAATAAAGAGTCAGATGCTTACCTGACTGAGCCACCCAGTCCCCCAATATATTTTTAAAAGTTGTTCTGTTGGTGGGAATGCAAACTGGTGCGGCCACTCTGGAAAACAGTGTGGAGGTTCCTCAAAAAATTAAAAACAGACCTACCCTATGACCCAGCAATAGCACTGCTAGGAATTTACCCAAGGGATACAGGAGTGCTGATGCATAGGGTTGATGGGGGGTGGGAGGGAGGGGAAAGTGGGTGATGGGCATTGAGGAGGGCACCCACTGGGATGAGTACTGGGTGTTGTATGGAAACCAATTCGACAATAAATTTCATATAAAAATTTTTTTAAAAGTAAATAAAAGTTGTGTGTATACAGGAGTGGCTGCATGGCTCAGTCGATTAAGCGTCCAGCTCTTGGTTTCATCTCAGGTCATGATCTCACAGTTTGTAAGTTCAAGCCCCATATCGGGCTCTGTGTTGACAGTTTGGAGGCTGCTTGGAATTCTCTCTCTCTCCCTCTCCCTCTGCCCCTCTGCCCTTCCCCACCCCTCAT